AAGGTACTCTTCCATCTGTGTGATGGTCCACCCCTGAGCCCTACCCCCACACTGTCCCCTAGGCTGATACAGGGAAGGTACTCTTCCATCTGTGTGATGGTCCACCCCTGAGCCCTGCCCCAACACTGTCCCCTAGACTGATACTGGGAAGGTACTCTTCCATCTGTGTGATGTTTTTGAATGGGCAAAGCACTTTAGCATTTACAGAGCACTCTCTGGTAGTGTAGTGGTTACGAATCAGGCTGCTAACTTCAGGGTCGGCAATTCAAAACTACCAGCAGTCCTGTAAAGATTTACAGCCTCAGAAACCCTGTACAGGGTTGCTATGGGTCGGAACCGACTCCACGGCACACCACCACCACCACCACCACCTCACACTTAGTCCATCTTCCCCAGCACACAGTGAGAGAGGGATTCTCGTGGATTCCACTTTACAGATAGAGACACAGAGCTTCAGAGAGATTAAGTGACTTGCTTGGGGTTAACCAGCTGGGAAGTGGGCCATGATTTTTGTCCTTTCTGGTTAGACCAGAGCATCCCTGGGTGGTACAAATGGTTAAAGTGTCAGCTGTTAACCAAAAGGTTGAAGATTTGCATCCACTCAGGACTTTGGAAAAAAAGCCATGAAAAACCATATGTTGTTGTTGTTAAGTACCGTCGAGTCGGTTCCGACCCATAGCGACCCTGTATAGAGTTTCCAAGGAGCAGCTGATGCACTTGAACTGCCGACCTTGCAGTTCAAACTGGCTTTGCAGTCTGACACATTAACCTACAGTGCCACACCAGGACGCCACGAAAAACCATATAGAGCTGTCCTATTCAGACACACATGGGGTCACCGTGACTTGGAGTTGACTCATTGACAAGTGGATTTGAGTTAGTCCCTGTCCTTGAACCACCCTTCCTGTGCTCTTTCAGAAAGCTTTCCAGTTTCGTGAGGTGGAAGGGTTGTACCTCCTCACCGACGGGAAGCCAGACACAAGCTGCAGCCTTATTTTAAGTGAAGTCCAAAAATTCCAGGAGAGAAGAGATGTGAAAGTCCATACTATCTCCCTCACCAGCTCAGACAGGTGAGCTAGGAGGAGTCAGCTCGTTTTTTGTTTACCTTTCCCTGGAGTCCCATGTCTGGGGGGTAGGTCTGAGCTGCTTCCCTAATCCAAGGACTCAGTGCTGGACACTGGCCTCTCCCGGGCCCACAGCCTAGGAATGAGGCTTTAGGAGTTGTTGGTTGTTCTCCTAAGGGTTTGTACAGGGTTACACTCCTAGTGCAAGGGCCTCTCTCCACCCCTCATCCCCCATCAACAGAGCTCTGACCTCCTCCTGCACAGAAACCTATTTGCAGTGATTCACCCAGTCAGGTTTTGTTCCCTCTTTAAATCGTTTCTTGGGAACATATTTGTGAATATTAGAGAAAAGCTGGAGATGAAAATATTACAGATTCATGTAGCATTGTCATGTTTATTTCTAGGAAAGATCACTACAGAAGAACATTGAGTAGATAAGAGAGAGTCTGTTCCGTCAGAAAAACTTTAATGTTATTATTAAAGAATAAAAATAATAGTAAAATTATTCTCAAATAAAAAGTATTAAATAATATTATTTAAAATGGTAGTTACTTTTGGAACTTAGGACAGATTTGATTTGCCCGTCTATACTGTAAGTAACATACCATGTCCCTTACTGGACCAGTGCATGGTAGGCACTGGATCTCATCAATGAATCCAATCAATGAATAGGCATGTGCTGCCTTTGTTCTTTGAAGGAGTCCAGGCTAAAAGGTGACACCAACATGGGAAACCCCTTCACTTAGCAGCTGGCTGGGAAAGTGGGCTTAAAGATGCCACAGTGTAGAACCTCAGTATCTACCTCCCATCTCCGAGGCAACTTCCCTTAAATCTAATAGACTTCAGCTGCCCTTGGGTCCAGGGTTCAGGGGACTTGTTTAGGGTCCTTGGGTCTTATCCCAGCTGTCTATTCCTCCCCACTAGGGAAGCAGTGGAATTCCTAAGAAAGCTGGCCTCACTCACTGGGGGGCGCTATCATTGTCCTGTTACAGAGGACACGCTCGTCCAGATTCATGGTGTGCTGACCAAGGGCTTCACTGACGAAACGGTAGGTTGTAGAGCTGCTGAGATCTGTTGAAATACCTCAACAAAATGTCAACAGATGGCTGTTCCTTCGAGCTAAAAAGTCCCCTGCTTCTCTTGTAAGAAAAAGCATCATCAAAAGTGCTGTGTTTCCTTGCTGCTCTCTTTAGCTGGCTGTCCTTGAGGTTAAACGTGCCCTGGTGGTGTTGTAGTTATCAATAAGCACTAGATTGCTGACCTCAAGGTCAGCAGTTCAAACCCACTAGCTACTCCACAGGACAAAGATGAGGTTTTTTGCTCCCATAAAGGTTTGCAGCCTCCCAAACCCTACACAGGGCCACTATGAGTCAGAATCACTTTGATAGCAGTAGGTTTGGGGTTTGATGCTCAAAATTGGGAGAGAAACAAGGTTTCAGAGTTATTTAATCATAGAACAGCTTACATTTGCTGAAGGAGCTCTGGTAGTGTAGTGGTTACAAATCGGGCTGCTAACCTCAAGGGGAGCAGTTTGAAACTACCATCAAACTACCAGGGAGAAAGATGAGGCATCCTGTTCCCGTAAAGATTGACAGCCTCAGAAACCCTGTACAGGGTCGCTGTGAGTCAGAATCCAGTCCATGGCACACCACCACCCTATTTACTGAGCATTTACTATGTGCAAGTACTTTGCATTATATAGATTACCTTTTTTAATTCCTCTAACCATGTTTATACTCATTTATAACAGATGGACAAACTGAGGCTCAGTATGAATTAGGAATGTAGCTAACGTCAGAGTAAATGGCAAAGCTGGAGCCCAAGCACTTAACTTGTGCTTTTAACTGTTACTGTTTTGCTTTGTTGCTGTTATTGTTGTTAAGTGTCATTTAGCTGCTTCCAACTCATAGCGATCCTGTATAGGGTCTCTGAGGAGCGACTGGTGCGCTTGAACCGCTGACCTTTCAGCTCAACCCGATCTTGCAGTCTAGCGCATTAACCCACAGTGCAATACCAAGACTCCAACCGGTTTGCTTTACTTCCTTATTTTGTCTTCCTTTGTTAAATTCATTAAAATGCAGATATTCAAACTATCTGTTAAGTTAAAAAACCTCACAAAGTAATAGGTTCCATGATGCATGTGGGATAAGAGGAAAATACCAGTGTTTCCCTACTGACTCGATAGGAACATTGCCCATATATATACCTTTTAGGGATTCAGGGCTGTCAATGATAACATTTATAGGGGCACCGACTCAGTGGCACTTAACAGCAACAACATTTGTCAACTGGAATCCTGGGGTAGTATTGTAGGGTAAGCACTCAACCACGTCAGTTTGAACTGCAAGGTCGACAATTCAAATTCACCAGTCACGTCTCGGAAATTCTGTACAGCGCCGCTATGAGCCAGAACCAACTCAACAGTACTTAACAACACTTGTCAACTGGACAACCAGTCCGAATTCGGGATCTCTTTTGGGAGGCTGAAGGTTACTTTTGTAGAACCTGGTATAATTTTTGAAGTCTGGATGATTTACCTGACTCCATTAATCCATAACTGTTCTGGGGATAAATAATACCCAGCAGAACAAATTGGCAAAATGAATGAATATTATTCAACCAGGTTCCCTTATTACCCAGGAAACCAACTCAGTGGTACCGGGAAGGGTGCCTGGTTTTTACTTTAGCAATTCAGATTCTGTTAATGGTTTTTAGATGTAGAATGGGATCTCACTTAAGGCTGCTGCTTCATTTCTTCCTTAGATTCTCTTGTTAATTGTGGGACTTGTGTTTTTTAAGGCTGTTGTTATTGTTATGTGCTGTTGAGTTGGTTCCAACTCACAGTTACCATGTATAATGACTGGTGCGTTTGAGCCACCAACATTGCGACTCAAAGCAACCTTGTGGTCCAGTGCTTATCCTACAGTGCCACGCAAGGCTAAGCTCCATACTTTCACTAGTTAACATAGGAAAAGTAACTTTGCCTGAGAAGGTTCATTTTGCTAGAAGAAATAGTAAAAGAGCTAAAGAGATTTGATTTCATAATGGTGCGGTTAGAGCACATTGCATTTCTGGTCTGCAGCCCCCAGAGCAGAGCTGACAGTAGTGAAGTTGAGACTATCCTGGCTTGTCATCACCTACTCCGTGGCACATAACAACAACAACCACAACAACTCCCTCTATAGACTCTCAGTCGTGTTTTTACAAAATGTCCCATTTGCAGAATGGACACTAACCATCTTGGGAAGTAGAAAGCTTCCCATCCCTGGAGGCATACAAGCTGAGACCCACCCTGCACTGGGTGGAAGGCTGCATTTAATTATCATTAATATTCTTCCCCTGAGATTTTGGATTTTCAGGTCCCATCCAGTTGTTTAATAGATTCAACCTCACATTCATTTCCCCTTTCTGAGGATCCTGTGTTGCCACGATTCGAAGGAGACGATCTAAAGAAACTGACCCAGGAGATTTCCAAAGCCAGACGCTTCCTCTGGCAGGCCCAGTCCTTCAGGTATGCCCTTCAAGCATCCCCTCCCACCCACCAGACCCTGGACCTCTCAAGACTCTAGTCACGGTACCCTTGTCCTGCTTCTCCCCACTAGCCCCAGAGATCTGGGCATCAAGGGGCCATAATCATTGTTTACCTCCTACCCACCAGATCCCAACTCCAGAAGAAAACCAATGTGGAATCAAAGGCTGCTCCTTTATAGAGAAGCATTCTCAGGTGAGGAGAAGGTAAGTGCTCATCACATGCCGAGTACCCACTAAGTCAGGCAGCATGCTGGGAAGGGATTCCTCCAGACAACAGGAAAATTCTACAAAGAGCCATTTCCTAGGCATATGTTGCTCCTGAGGGCAAGATGACCTGGAAAGCTGTAACCCACAGAGCATCCACAGGAAACACAATTCCCAGCATGGGGACACCCTGAAAGCTGAAGAAGGAAAGGCTCTATTCTTTGTGTATTGGGCCATCCCCAGGTCTACCCTAACCCTCCTGCTCTGTTCCCCAATAATACCCTACATACCAGCTAAAAGATTGCCACTCACTGAGTCTCCTGCCCAAAATGTCTTTCTTGCCTACTCCTCCTGCTCATCCTTCCAGGCACAGCTCAAATGATATAATTTCCACTGTAAAGATGTCTCTGGGACCCATGAACTGTTGGGAGCCTCTAGACAGAGGTAGGAGCCTCCAGTCTTCCTCTCATAGCATCCTGACCAAACTCCCTCTTCTTGCACTTAGCAACTCCAAGTCATCATTCCTTGTTGACTTTTGTAACTCTTCTCCTTGGCTGTGAGCTCCTTCAGGATAAGACTGATGTCCTAACCATCTCTGGGTCCCCAGAACCTGCCACATGGAAGATACTCAGGAAAAATTGAACATCCAGCTTAGTCATAGGAATCCAGCTCTAGAAATTCACCTGATGGTCCTCTTGCTCTGGGGATCCCACCACCCTGGTCCATGGAGACCAGAACAGATTCACTATGAGCCCATCTTGGAGGAAAGAAGAAACAAATGAGCCCTGGCTTCCACCTTAACCAAACCAAGCTGAAAGCTGCTTTGGAGCCCAATCTAGAGTAGATGCTCTGTTTGACCAAGAAATAAGGTTGGGTCTCTACGCCCAATCCCACTGTGAATGTATAAAGTGAATGTGCCGTGTATTCTATAATCTGGAGTCATTTTCTAAAACCAAAGAAAAATACTTTTCATTTCATTAATAGCATTAAAATGACTTTAAAGAAAAACTGTTTGAAGTGATCTTTGGTGTGCGTGTATGTGTAGACTTATTAAAAGACTTGTATTAAGAAAAGATAAAGTCCTTGAACTTTCAGCAAGATGGTAGACTAGGTAGACACATTACACAGAGCCTCTACAACAAAGATACAAAAGACCAAATGAAAGACATAGATGTTCAGGGATCGAGGCAGAGTCTAAAAGGGTAAAAGAGGGGAAATGATGTTAAAATGCTTGACTGTCTTATGGATATTGATTTCTCTTGCCTACTATTGTAAAATAAACACTTGAGTGCGATAGAAAGGAATATCGGGAAATAGGATTACAGAAAGCTTGTAAGCCCGTCTTCAGCCTATAATGGATTGTAATATCTTAAAGGGGTTCTAGAACTTACCTAGTGAAATAGGCTTCTTTCAGAGCCTTTGTAGTGTATAGGACCTTAGGTGGAATTCTGAGCCCCATCCAAAACCTTCTGAGGTGGGACATTCCCACTTGAAAGGACCTGCAGACCAGCCTGGAGCAGCTAGTGAAACAGAAGATACTTCTTGAAAGAAAGACCAGTGGAAAAAATAAAAACAGCAGACTGGATATTACAACAACAAGCAAGTGGCTCACCTGGGAGCCATGAAGGCAAGCAATCAAGTCCCTTCAGTACAAATCCCCTCCCAAGATTGAAACTCAAAGGGAAAACATGAGCAGGCATGTAAGTTCACTGGTGACCGTGTTGGTCTACTTGTGGGTGGAAGTGGGGGAAAGGCAGTAATGAAGACATGGGCTGCATTTGACCATGTTCCATAGACTCCTATCAACCTTGAGATGAGAGAGAAACAAGGAAGGGCTGGTTGGTCTGAAGTTTGGGGTGAGTTGGGAACTCCTGTTCCCCCATGGACACTGACCTAACTATGGAGGACTAGAGCTGAGAGTGAAACATCCAGCTGATACAAAGTGGGGGAAGGCATGCAAGAATGCTCAAACTTAAAATAGTAACCATCTGACTTAGTTTGAATGGTTGTTGATCAGAACTCAAATTGAGGATGATAAAGAAGTTTAATGTAGGAAGCAAGTATAAATTGCTAAAATTTGATGAACTTGACCTATACTTATGGATGTAGTAGCTCAAAATACCAACTGACAGGAAAGGAGTCTTCACCTCAAGGACCAAGCCTATCCCCTCAGTACACAAAGTTGATAAGGACTTATACATTGGCTACCTAAATTGGGGGTACAAAGTGTCTGGCTTATAAGTTTTCAAGAGGGAGTTTAGTTTCAGAGCATGCGGTAGAAGGTAGAATCCCCACTGAATAGTTTTCATCTTGTTTAGATGAGTCTGGTGAAAGGAGTTAGGGATAGGATTCTTTTGATTCCATAGTGAGTAATTATTATCATGACTAATTGTGATTGTCACAACTGTAAAGGTAGAAGTTGTGTAACAGAAAGGGGGGAGTGGTTAATCTTACATTCTAGGAACAGAGGACCTTAGGACCATCAGAGAGAAGAGCATGGGATCCTAATCAGAGAAGCAGCGACACCAGAGATGGAGGCAGAGGTGTTGGCATGAAGAGACAGAGTAGCTGAGGACTTAAGACTCAGAAAGAGAAAGGCTGTGTGCTGGCAGGCAGGAGGCTGGCTTGCAAAATGTGCCCTTTGGTTGTTTACACTTTTATATATACCTGTGTGTTTTGTGTACATGAAAAAAAGGTAGTGAATAGAAGCAAATACTGTGAGTTGAGGGGATTGTAATCATTGCATTGAAACAAAATATGATTTGTTGAGTGCAAAACCGATGTTCTCCCATGTAAACTATCACTCAGTGCACAATAAAAGCATTAAAAAAGAAAGACACAGATGAAAATCCTGGAACTCTGAACTTCAGACAAAAGGTTAGACAAATGGATTGTGGATTGAGTGCTTGCTGGGAGGAGAAGCTGAGCAGAGACAACAAGAGAGGGGCACCAACTTGGTGAATGGCCAGCCAGACATGACTCAACTATCTTGAACTTTTGTGAGCAGCTTTGGGGACAGAAAGTGGCCTGGCAGAGCAGATTCACACAGGCAACAGGAAAGGTGCGATTCCTTCTTTTACCCATGCTCCCCTGGTGACCAGCGGTGTGCCCAGCTCCCACTCTCATCCAGCCCCAGAGCAGACGCTGCTCTTTGGGAGTTCGTTGTCACATGGTTGTGAGCCACACCAGGGTAAGGCGGGGCAGCTGCACAACAATTCGGGCAGACTTGGCTCCAGCTTTCCAGAACCTGCAGAACCACCAGACCAGCATTGTTGTTGTTGTTAAATGCCATCGAGTTGGTTCTGACTCATAGTGACCCTGTATAGGGTTTCCAAGGAGCGGTTGGTGGACTTGAACCACTGACCTCGCAGCTCAAAGTGACCTTTCAGTCCAGCATATTATTCTGCGATGCCACACCAGGACTCCAGCATTAGTCTAGTAGAAAACTTCATGACCAACCACCCTGCCCTCAGCTGCCCTGTGGTCCTAATAGACACAGAAACCAACCCCATCAAGTGCCTCCATGAACTACTCCAGATTGAGTACCCTGAAGATAGAAAACACCTAGGCCTATTGGAACTCCATCTAGAACCAGGAACTCTGCTGTCTCATCCCTTCACACCCACCCTGTGAGCTCCTCAGCTGACAGGAGGCCCCCAGAGTTTTCTCAGGTGAAAATGTTGAAGAGTTGTTAGACGAAAACTTCCCTAACATTATAAAAGACAAGAAGATAGCCATTCAAGAAGCTGAACAAACTCCAAACAGAATAGATCCCAAAAGAAAATCACCAAGACTTACCATAATTGGAATTTCCAAAACCAAAGACAAGAAAATAATCTGGCGAGCAACTTGTGAAACGCAAAAAAGTGATTTACAAAGGAGAATCAATAAGGCTAAACTCTGATTTCTCAGCAAAAACAATACAGACAAGGCAGCAATGGCATGGCATATACAAAATTCTGAAAGAAAAAAATTGCCAAGCAAGAATCATCTATCCAACCAGTCTGTCCCTCAGCTGCTGCTGTGCTGTTAAGTGCCATCAAGTCGGGTCCGACCCATAGCGACCCTGTACAGGGTTTCCAAGGGTGTAAATCTTTACGGGAGAGCTATAACAGCAAAATTCAGACATTTCCAGCTAACAAGAAATAAAAGGAATTTTAATAACCGGACCAACTTTATAAAGAATACTAAAGAGTGTTCTTTGCACTGAGAACCAACAACAGCAGAAAACAGCCTGAGATTAACATACTTGGCAGCAGCATCCAAAACGCAATCCAGATATAAAAGCATTTAAAGGAAAACAAATTTACAAAGCTGGAAATAGGGAACTAGAGATATCAATTTATAATGAAGTCAACTATAAAGTAAAAAGAGGGAACAGTGAGGACACAGAACTTCCAAATGGTGAGGAAGTCAAGTTAATTTCAAGATAAAGCAGACTGTTTTAAATGGAGGAAAAATTATAGGGCAACCTCACAGAAAATGAACACACCTTCACATCAAAATAACCAAGAGGGAAATCAGAAAGATTTCGTAAGCATTAACACAATAGAAATGAAAGTGAAAAGAAAACCCATAAACAAAATGAAGAATGTAACAAGGCCCATGTCTCTCACACCATATAAAAAAGCAAACTCAACATGGATGAAAGACCTAAATGTGAAGCCTAGAACTATAAAGATCATCAATGAAAAAATAGACAAACTCAGGGGCTGTGATACATGGCACAAAGACACTATCAAACATAACTGAAAATGCACAGAAAGTAGACAAAGTAGCTGAATGAGACTTCCTAAAAAGACACTTATGTGCATCAAAGAATTTCACCAAAAGATTAAAAAGAGAACCCACAGACTGGAAAACAATGTTTGACAATGACATATCAGAAAAGGATTACTCTGTAAAATTTATACAATACTTTGATGCCTCAACAACAATAAGACAAATAATCCAATTTAAAAATGGGCAGAGGACA